CGAAACCCGAAACGCTAAACCCTCAACCCTAAACTGCGTCAAGATGCCAAGAGGAATGAATCCTGAGGGTTGATAGTCTATCTCTATGTATACATGCTTATAAATAATCCCGCTAAATGGGGGTTTCCCAAAATTGGGGGTACCCTATTAGGGGTCCCCACAATAAGGATTATAGTATATTGGGGTCTATATTGGGGTCCCCTTATTTAGGGAAACTACCAAATGTGTATGAGTACCGTATGTTATTCCTCCACCGTATACGCTTATTTCTTCAATGTCCTTAAGCCTCCCACCCACCCACACCCCAACAGCCGAATCACACCCACGGAGAGGGAGGGTACCTCATCATGGGTGGTTTCCCAACACCCACGAAGGTGTTTACAGTGTAGGGAGGGAGGGGTCGCTGATTTCAAACAGGTACAAGGTCGGTTCTGGACAGCGGTTCCTTTATCTGCCCACACCCCCAACCGCCCACAGAGAAAAAGGAAGATGGTTACAACGGTCACAGCAAGTACGATGCCGGTGGGGGAGGGGGGGGTTGGGGTGGGGGGGGGTGACGCTGCATTGGGTTTAGGGATGAGGGTTTGGTTCTTATGAGGCTGGATTTTAGTGTCGGTTTTGGGGTATCATAATATGGGTATATAGTACATCATAGAGTTTCCTTATTATAGTAACTCAATTCAAGTTTCTTAGCAGCAACTCATTTACATAGGGCTTTCAAACATTGAGGTCCCTTTTTCAAGGTTGCCAAGGCAAGGGCTGTCGTGAGTGTTTGGGAGGAGCAATTTTTTGATTACTGCCCCCACTCTGTAATAGTTGGAAAATCTGTGTAATATACTTATTTGCTGTTATTTATAGCCTTCAGTTTGATCCCTGACGTAGACTGTTTCAGGGTGGGGCCCCAAACCCTCAGCCCTCAGCCCTTTGCCCTAAGCCGTAATTTCTGGAACTTCCAAGTCGGCTTGCCCTGGTCTTGTCTGCTTTTCATTCGAGCTGTAGTCTAAACTCCTTGTATCACCTTTAATAAGCCTTATAATACTCCCCTATATAGTCGCTTATATAATGTTATTAAGGACTTTAGAGTCTAAAGACTATAGCTCGTGTAGGAAACCCCGAACCCTGTTGGGAGGAGAGCGAAGGAGAAGGAGAAGGCAGACGAGGATGCAGCAAAGGCTCGGGTGCCCGAGTTTAGGGTTAAGGGTTTAGGGTTTAGGGCCCAACCCTAAACCCTACCTCAAGCCCTAAGCCCTAAACCCTGCTAGATAAAAAGAAGCCTCAATCCTGAACCCTAAACCCTAAACCCTGAACACTAAACCCTAAACCTTAAGCCCTAGGTAGATATATTCCGAAGCACTAGTTCTCAGGTTGAAACCATGGGCCCCTAGTATGGGCCTTTAACCCTGGGATCCTCACATACTTCCAATATGTCCTATATGTACCCTTAAGGGTCCCTAGAATGCCCTTAAAAGAGCCCATATTAGGGGCCCATACCTTTCACCTTAGGCGAGTGCTACCTATACTAGTAATAGGGGCACATAAAATATGACCTGGTTAGAACTTCAGTGTTTCCCAACTAGTTCAAATTCGTAGATTTTATCGCAGCTTTTTGGTGGTCCATGAAGGAAGTTTCCAGATTCTTTTGCAATCAGGGAACCCAGAGCCTAAACCGCTTGGCAGTGGGTGGAGCAAGCGTTCTTCCCTGAGACAGATGTGCAGGCGATTGAAGACAAGATCCGCGAACACTTGAACCAAATGAAGTCAAAGCAGGATTGGGCTTTAGGGTTTAGATGGCTTGTGCAGTTGCAGACTTGCTCCGTGACATCTTTTTTGTAGCAATGCGGTCACTTGTGGAACAGGAGGACAAGGGCAAACACGTGAAGGCAAGCAGGGTTGCCGGCCCAGTTCCGCTGGTGACACGACTGGTGCCAGCTTTGCTTTCAGGGGAAAGCTCAAGATCTGCATGAACGTGATGCAGAGGAGCAGGGAACGGTTACATGCATCGTGTGGTGTCTCTTGCAGAAATTTGTGTGAGTACTTGTGCGCGTTGGAGAAATGCAGTCACTTAGCTCTTCTACTTGCCCAAGAAGAGCAGCAGAGCCCAGCACATGCAGCATTACTATGAGCTTCCGACAAATAAAGAGCCGGCTTCACAACAACAGCAGTCGACCTCAAGACATTAAAAGGCAGGTGCACTTTGAGAACACGTGCCGAGCAGCCGAAGATTGGGAGCTTGCTGTGCTGAAGCCTCATGAGTGGATCGTCACACCTCCGTGACTGGGTTTCTGTCAAAGAACTTGAATTAAGTTACATGATAATGAGGAAACCGTATGATTTTACCATATACCCATACTATGGAACCCTAAACCCTAAACCCTACACCCTAAACCCTATACCCTAAACCCTAAACCCTAATCCCTAAACCCCAATCCCTAAACCCTACACCCTAAACCCTAAACAGCAACCTAGGTGAGCCGTGGCCGGTAGCAGGCTCGGTGACTGTGCCCGGCACGCTGGTGTACGCGGCTGCTCCACCAGCTCCTGCCACCCTGGCTCCCTCTTGGAAACTTACTGGTGGTTAGAAGGGAAGGGTTTAGGGTTTAGGGTTTAGGGAATCATAAAGGGTGTAGTCTAAACCCTAAATGGGATCAAATAGGGGTTATATTTCTACGCCCAACCCTAAACCCTTTATAGGGGGAGTCTATTCCCTTATCCCCTAATAACCACGACTAAGGAGATGGCCTGCACCGCCTGGGGCTGCGCCCGCGATGGTCCGTAGCCCGATGCAGGCTGGCCGTCGATCTGTTGCCTACTTAACTGAACCTGGGATCTTCCTGGGAGTACTTTTTTCCTAAGTAAGTATTATGAACCCCAATCCCCATAGGTCCCCTATATGAGCCCTAAGAGTTTAAGTCTCCCCTAAACTCTAAACGACCCTAGACCCTATACCCTCATCATCCCTCATCCTAGGAACCCTAAACCCTAATCCCAGGAACCCTAATCCCAGGAACCCTAATCCCCTAAACCCTAATCCCTAAACCCTAAACCCAGTAACCCTAATCCCTTAAACCCTAATCCCAGGAACCCTAAACCCTAAAACCCTGAACCCGAAAACCCTAAACCCAAAAACCCTACTCCCCTAAGCCCTAATCCCAGGAACCCGTGGTTGGTATTGCTGGGCCACCAAGCTGGGGCCAGGCTTGCTCAGTTTGTCCACTGCCTTACCCAGCTCAAAGTGAGCAGCAGCGAGGCCGCAGTGACTGGGCTGCCGTTAAGGAACTTGAGTTTAGGGTTTGGGGCGTAGGGTTTATGGATTAGGGTTTAGGGTTTGGGGATTAGGGATTAGGGTTTAGATTAGGGATTAGGGTTTAGGGATTAGGGATTAGGGTTTAGGGTTTAGGGTATAGGGATTAGGTTTTAGGGTATAGGGTTTAGGGTTTAAGGTTCCATATAGTATGGGTATATAGTAAATAATAGGGTTTCCTATTCTAGTAACTTAATTTCGTTTCTGTAACAGCACCCCAGGTGATACACCGCCACCCACGATCTTTGTTACACGCCCTTCTCCAGACCCTCCCTCAGAGGCAAAGGATGAAAGGAGGACTGGAGTAGCTCCAGAAGGGGTGGATACAGAAGCAGCCATACTTGATCTCAAGGAACAGCTGGGGGGCTTGCGCAAGGAACTGCATACTGTTCGAAGTAGCTTGGATGCTCAGCTGCGGAAGGAACCACCTCAGCTTGGCACGTTGCGGCAACGGGTCAACTCGCTTTGCTCTGAGCTTGCTGACTGTGGCACCGAAGCTCTCAAGATGTGCTCCGATCTCGGTCATCGAGGGGGCGAGGGCGGCGATGCCGTTCTGAGGAGTCGGAGTGCCCCTGGCGGGCATGTGTGGCGACCATCCGCCTGTGCCCCACGAAATTCAGCCGTCAGGCTTTCAACAGGGCCAGCCGTATACTCGTGCCTTCCAGGTTCACTGTCTCCTCGCGTGATGAGATCACCTACAAATCTGTCAGAACCAGTCACAACTGGAGTTGCGCGTCGCGGCAGTGGAAGGACAGACACGAGCCACATTCCTTCTCGGGCCCAGAGTGGAAGCTCGGTTAATGTCATGACGGCAAACGCGGGCATTCAGCGGAATGAGAGTACCAGCAGCTTCTGGGGCATTCCTGGGAAAAGTTTTCAATTACTATGAAAGATAATTTCTATAGTTCCCCTTAAGTAGATAGAATATGCGGTATATGGGAATCTTATTATAATATAGCCAAAGCCATATTCTATCTACTTAAGTGGGACTATATACCTCCTGTGTAAATCCCATAAGAATCTTTCCTAAACCCTAAACCCTAAACCCTTAACCATAAACCGGTAGGAGGGCCCCTGATTCTATCCCAGGTTTCGTCTTGGCGGCAAAGCCGCAGATGCAAGTTCGGACTTCTCTGGCATCCTCAGCTTCTGGGTTTATATAGTAAATAACAGGGTTTCCCCAATATAGTAACCCTAAACCCTAAACCCTATAAGGTTTCCGCAATATAGCAACCCTAAACCCTAAACCTTATAGGGTTTCCCCAATATAGTAACCCTAAGCCCTAAACCCTATAGGGTTTCCCCAATATAGTAACTCTAAACCCTAAACCCTCAACCCTATAGGGTTTCCCCAATATAGTAGCTTAATTTACGTTCCTTAACAGCAACCCAGGCTTCCAATGCTCCGCTGTCTCCCAAAGAGACGGTCCCGGCCAAGCCCTCTAGAGCATGGTCCCCCAATCCATATCTTCCTGGTTCCCTCAACCCGGATACTGGACTGCAGCCAAGGAAAATGAACGAAGTTATTAAGTTACATAAGGAGACCTGGAGTTTTGACCATGTAATTGTCTTTGTATTTTGTGGTAACTTATTGAAGGTTCTTTCAATCAACTCAGGATATTCTGCGCCAAGCTTCTTCCAAGTCCGCCAGTTCTGATGGGCCTGCTTGCCACAATTGCGGCGGTCTGGCTCGATTTATTTGAAGGGTTCTATTTCACTAACTGTCATTTTACACGTTACTCTAGTGTACTGTGTAATTGTATTATCATTCTATTTCTATTATAGAAGCCCGAGACCCTAAACTGTGTGTATGATTACATGGTTGTGTTCACCCTATTCCAGGCTACCCACCATGGCTGGAGGCAGTCTGTCATGAGGTTTAGGGTTTAGGGTTTAGGGATTTGATGGGATAGGTTTTCAATAGTTCCTGCACATCATACCTCTTGTAACCCTAAACCCAGACCCTGAACCCTAAACCCTAAAGCCCATTAGACCCTAAACCGTTGGGTTTGCAGAGTTGCGAAGGCAATCGCCTACCTCCTGATGCTCCATATTGCCGCTTCTGTGGGCTTGCACGCTACCGGGTCCGCCTGACAGTGGTTGTTAAAGCCCCCCCCCAAGTTTAGGGTTTAGGGTCCAGGCTTTAGGGTTTAGGGTTTTCTCAATCCGAAACCCTAATTAAGGGTATCTAGGCCTACGTAAGGCTAATTCAGGGAAGCCTGGGGGTGTAGTACTGGGGGTGGTGGATAGTTGCACCCATAATGGAACCCTCTTCATTTGAGCCATATTCTAAACTCCTTAAAGCGGGTTATATAGGGGATTATATATGGGACTACTATAGGGGTTATTAGGGGGGATACTAGGAGTTTAGACTATAGCTCATTTGGGTGGACTTCTGTCTGCGTGGCAGGCCAAGACTGCCAGAAACTCGGTCGAACGCCCCAAAGTGGAGGACCTATCCGGCTTCATCCTTCATAGCGAAAAATGGGGGTTCAGGGTTTAGGGTTTAGGGTTGGGTTTAGGGTTTAGGGTTTACGGTTTAGGGTTTAGGGTTTAGGTTGGGCCCTAGAATAAGGACTATAGTATCTTTGGGTCTATATCAGGGTCCCCCTAATTTTCGGAAACTACCAAATTCAGCTTTGTAACCACGTAATACCTTAAAGTCTCCATGGCTCCTACTATCATTGATAACACAGTCACATGAAATTATGCTGGTGTAATATACCTAGGCTTGATCAAGCCCTTAGGCGTCTAAACCCTAAGCCCTACACCCTAAACCCTCTCAATCCCACGGCAGGACGTCACGGCTAGCGTTAACGATGAAGCTCTTCGCGAAGAGGCCGCCCACAATGGAATTGTAGTAGCAGCAGCTTGCCATAGCTTTGTTTTGTCGGGCATCCCCTAAACCCTCAACTTAAACGGAAAACCCAAAACCCTAAAACCTACAAACTTAAAGCCCTAAACCCTGAAAACCCTGAACCCTCCAAACTTAAAACCCTGAACCAAACACCCTAAAACCCTAAACCCTAAGCCCTAAACCCTAGACCCTAAACCCTAAACCTTAAACCCCAACACCCTAAAACCCTAAACCCCAAATAATAACCCCGGATATATACCCTATTATACTATAGTAGCTTCCATTTTCTCTTCCATTATCCCTATATAACCCCAATACAACCCTAAAGCCTCAGCTGAGCAGGGCAAAGTTAATCTGCCGCAGGCTGTCAAGCAGTTGCACGAGATGGCTTCTGGCTCAGTGCCGGGTTTAGGGTTTAGGGGGTTTAGGGTTTAGGGTATCAGAGTTTAGGGTTGCAGAGTTTAGGGTTTGTTGTGTGAGAGCGGATTGCTGCAATTTTGTGTTGGGATCATGGTAGAAACCCCCAATTCTAAAAGGGAACTTTCCCAAAATAGGGACCCCCCAAAAAGTACCCCTAATTTTGGGAAACCCCCATATCCCCCTAGAGAACCCTAAGCCCTCAACCAGCCGGCAAGAAATTTCCGAGGCATCTCTTCGGGTTGCGAGCTCAGACTTTACACCATTTAGGGTTTAGGGTTTAGGGTGTAGGGTGTAGGGTTTAGGGTTTAGGGTTTAGGAGTTAGGGTTTAGGGGTTTAGGGTATAGGGGACCACTATAGAGGACTACTATAGAGGTTATTAAGGGGGATTTTGAAAAGGG